ATATATGTTTATTTATACATGCCGCTTACTTCTGGTGTTTCCATGATGCCTGGTTTGTGAAGCAACCGCTAGTCGTGAATGAAGTCGATTGCTGATGAATGATATTCCTGTTTACATTACAGCCGAGCTCTCCAGGGCGATGCGACTCTCTCCATCGAATGTCGGTGGTCCCTCTCTCCAGCGCGCGCGGCCACATACATAAACCAGAAACAAACAAGAAAAGTAACTGCCTTCAATCTCTTCTCCTTCTTCTTCTTTTTTCTTCTCTCTCTCTCTCTCAGCGGGTGAACTCCAGCGAGCAATGTTACAGCAACATCGCTAGCTGTCTACTCACCGCTCAATGAACGACACTGTGCAATAGGGTGCATGTCCACGCTTCTAGGTTGGGGGCAGCGAATGGGCGGATCGAAGGCACGCTGGCTGACAGGCGACTGGCAGTCCAACTGCCTAACACAATTCTCGCAGGAACAAAGCGCGGCCGTGGTCGAATAGCCTATTTATAACGTCAACGCGGACAATCGTACTCAAACTAGAAGTGCGTGTGACATGCATTTGTTTATGTGCGAATTTCTTCTATATTTTTTGGCACGATTTACCACCAAATAAAGTATCCGCGCCCTCATGGGAACTCAGTGGGGGCGCGCAACAATTTGGGTTTGGATTATTTTGGAATGAGCTCTGCGTTGTTCTAATGTTTTTGTTTATGATATATAATTCAGTGTTCAGGCAATTAGTATAATGCATAATAGCAATTTATGTACCAACAACACTGCGTAAAAGAAGCAACGTTCCAACGCGCACCATGCATACCTAACACATACTATAATAATACCTACTACGTGTAAAAAACTTGTAATTTTATTGAGAAAAAATGGCCATTAATTTCGACTATAAGCACAGAGGGGTAAGCGCGTGCATGCCTGCTTTTACAATTATTAATCCGCATGGTTATTTGCCCCCATTTAAATTTAAGACAGCAAAGGAAAAATTAATGAAACACATGTAACGTACATGAATTTACACGTTTCTACAAAAATATCAACATATTTATTATGACACAAATGAATTTTACAGAATTATGATATGGATTTGACAGTGTTATGATGTACGTATGAACAGTGCCCCGACTCATCCTACCATTTACTTTTAAATGTATTAGCTATGAACAAAACTAAAACAAACCGTGCGAACATAATAAATACACAAGTGGCAACTATACAGTTATTACTACTACCTACCACATCGTTAGCAGTAGTCATGGTGCTAATTGCAGATAATAAAATTAATGTCGCAAATGCCGATAGACACACACAATTGGTTTCAAAACGTGCCAAAGCAGCTTGCAATAGGATGAGCATAACATTTATAATTATGCCATGTGAAAATATGTTGCTAGTTAGTTACTTTAGCACCTTTACTTTGAAAATCTCAATCAGTTATTTGTTTATTTGTTGTATTATCATTAACACCTCCTATGCTGATTCACATCTTTAATGCAGCTATGTCAAAATATTTCATTTGTTTACTACACAATGATTATTACAAAATAATGCTTTGCAAAACCATGCTACAATGCAAGTATAGTAGTAACATTAGCATATATATAACACGATTTTTTGGACTGTAACATAGTTGACTATGTATAAACAAGTTGTAGACATGCATCACACTGTGGCCGAATGTTGCTAAACACATTTATCTATATGATTCACTGTTATACACACTACACTGGCATTACACTCCCACTTCTATGTACAATGATGACAATGAACACATAAATTACTTCTCCCAATAGATGGCACCACGATGTCACGCCTGACTTATGACCAAAGGCATGTACTGTGGTAATAGTATACCTAACGATTTTATATATGTGATGTAATATATACAAAAACACACAACTACAATTTGACACTTACATTACGAAACCACTAACCAGAACAGTTCAAACAAAAGATTCTGTCTTCTGATGTCTCATAACTGTAAAATGAAAAAGTAAGCCATTAGAATTTGATATATAATTATTAGGATCTGAAAACTGCATTGATCAATACCTTCTTTGCAATGAATTTGCCTCAATAGAAACCTTATTTATCTATTCAAAATTCGGTTATGAACAGCTAACCGGTCAAAAATAATTATATTACTCACTTTACAACAGAGCAGAAATTGCAAAATAATCCTGAACATCTGGAGCATGTTAGAGAACATGGTAGGCACATCTTGCTCTCACAGAATCCACAGATACTCCATGATTCCGAGCTTTTCTTGCACTGGTGACACTCTACCACAACGGCAACGACTTGTTGTACTTGTACTGTTGAACTATTTCCTGTAAATAAACAAATTCCAATGATATATCAGATCATAAAACCGAGTTACAACCAAAGTGATATCTAACCGATTCTTAGTAAATGTGACTGTTTACAGTTTTAATATCCCCACGTTGATGAAAGATTTCCATTTGTACAAACAAACATAAGACAAGGCCAATGAAAGC